TCCAAGTACTAACCTTAGTCATCCAGAATAGTGTTCTTAGAAGATCTACTATTATAGCAATATTATCAGTATTATATTCCCCCCATATCATCATTTAAAACATTCCTCTACCCTTTTTTCCATCATCAACATCCCTCAAACCCCAGTGGGTCAATACTAGACAAGTAGTAGAACTTAACTCAACACTAGAATCAGTAGAAATCAGCCACACCCCTTTTCTTCTTTTTCTTAGTGTAACTCTCTCCCAAACAACAGTTATTAGCCAGGAGGGCAGCCTCAACAGCACCCATAGTTCAGCTTACACTTTTACTAGTTGTAGTTGTCTATTTCCCCTCCAAGCTCTACTCCCCTTCTTAGAGTAGTTCCACAGCGCTAGCCCAAAAAGGAGGGAGTTACTGAGCTGATTTTAGCTGAGTAAACTGTGAAGCTCCTTTGCGTGAAAGCGTGAAAGTCGAAGTTTGAAAAGCAGTTTTGCATTTGAATCGACGAATGTCAAGCTTTCATTGGTCGAGTGTCTTGCGTCAAAATGGATAAGTAGATTTTTGCTCGAATAGCGCGTGCCTTTGCAGCAGCGATTGGTTCAAAGCTGAGCCAAGAAGTTCAACGTGTGACACTTATTTGGATACATACTCTCACAAAATTAAGTTTCACACAGGCCAATATATTTTTTAGACACTGCAGATTACAAGATTTCAACAGATTTTATCATTGACCTATCTCTGATGCTCTAAGAAGAATTTGTGTATGTTGCTAGATTGGAAGTTGTTAAGATGGCCAAAAAGCATTTTTTTTGCAGTGAAGTATCTGTGTGATTGCCCAACATTTTTGAAGGTTCAAGTAGAAATCTGGTCTGTCTTCTGCTGCTTATTTATTCCTATCAAACAGTGTGTTGAAGTGTTGAATCAAATGTTTTGAGGATGATTCAAGATTTTTGCAGAGAGGTTTATCCCTTCCATCCAGAACCCAATCACATGTGTCAGGCTTTCTTTTTTCTGGTGGATCAATCAAGGCCAACGGGTTGAGGGGGTGAGGTGAGTCTGACATCAATTCATCCAAATTTGTCAATTTTACCACCTCTCATTTTTTCTCTTATCCAATCACTTCTCTCTGGTTTGCAAGTAGAGCAGTTTCACTTTTTGAATCCCTTTTCAACCTCAAGGGTGGCTTCTAGTTTGTAGTTTGTATCATCTTGTGATAGAGTTATGTAGCCCACACTATTTTCAAGAAGTAAATTAGCTCTTTGTCTATTGATATTAGCTTTCAACCACACATACAGAGTATCCAGGAAGAATGAAATCCTAAAACAACTTGTATTAATGGCTAAGGTGTCCATTTGATCATTGTCACTGTGATATTTGAAATTTTCAAACTCACTGACTAAGTTATTCCCCTTCTTTTGACTAGATTTGACAAAAATTATACCAAGAACTTGCTTTCCATCTCTTCTGGAGCGACCCAACATCTTAGATATTGAAGACAGATCTGCTTGACTCACTTGAATGACTGATTGAACTTGTTTTCAGCTCTGGCCTAAACCAGGGGCCATAGTTTCTGAAATCAATGGAAGTGATTCATCTGTGAAAGCCTTGACCACATCTGTCTAGATCTCCTGTGTTGGAGTGGTAACAGCGTAAAAAGGTGCCATTTGGGATTTTCTCTGTGTGAATGGTTCCTTGAGCATTGCTGATGACCTCAAGAAGTCTGGAAGTAATGTTTTGTGTGGATGAATATATATCAAGCTTGGTACAAGTTTCTCATTGGGTTTTTGCTCTTTGTTTCCATATATATTGTTGAATCTATGAATTTGAATTGCTAAACCAAAACCAGACTAAAGAACAAATACATTAGACATGATAAATAAAAGAGATCAGAAAAAAAAAAGGGATTTACCGTCAAAGAATAATAAGAATGTGAGAGACAACAGAAATAGAAGAGGACACAGAATAGGAA